GGAAGGAGGAGATGGACAAGCTCCTGGACAAGGTGGGCCCAGCGATGCCTGAGGGCAGGGCTGTGGAGGGAGGGGCACCCACTCTGGGTCCTGGAGAGTAGCAGGGGGGTCATGCTGCTGGCCAGGAGCTCAGGGCCTTATGGGACAGAAGGGACAGAGCCCAAGCCTGGCCCCCCAGCCTGACCCCCCTCTCCTCTTTGTTTTCTAGATCTCAGAACTGGAAGGAAACCTGCAAACACTGAGGAATTCCAATTCTACTTAACAGGAATCTTTCCTTAACCAGACAATAATTAATCCCCTCCCATTGTCCTCCCGCCCCATCCTCAATATTCCACCCCACCCCTAACTAGCCTGGGGACAGGTGCCCCGACTCCCCCACCCCTCTGCCCCACCTCCCCCAGCTTCAGGGACCAGAGGGCCCATGTCACAGGCCCCATTATGGTGGCCCCAGGCAGACGGGTGACTGGAAGGATGGCCTCCTTCTTACCCTATGGGGCTGAGGCACAGAGGTTGAGGGATGCCAAGGGCTGGCCTGGGTGGTGGATGGACAGACACAAGGACCTGCAGACCAAACTGCCAGACTTTACAACCTCCAGCCTTTGTCTCTGGACTGGAATGGGGCTGGGGGCTCTCCCAGCATTTCACCACCTGGAGGCTGCTCCCTGCCCACAGGGCTCCTTGACTTGAGATTCTACCTTCCTGGCCCTTCTTGCTCCCCATCATTGTGCTGTCTCTGTTTCATTCTGATCCTCCTGCTGGGAGGGGTTGCCTCCACACCTCCTCCCTCCCTGTCTCCCCTCCCAGGAGGGGTGGAGTTCACCCCAGAGCCTGGAGGCTGGGCCCGGCCCTGCACTGATTTCTCATATATCCTTCGGGGGAAAGGGGAGTGAGTAGAAAAAGGGGGGCGGCAGCCCCCAGTTTCTCCTCATGCCTCCCCCTTGCCCTTCCCTGGTGCCAAATAGCCATAACCTCTTCCTGGAACTGTTCTGTGGCCTCTCTGGCATCCAGTTTCCTGGCTAAGCCTGGGAACGCCAGGGAGGAGAGGTGGTCAGCTCAGAGGGCCTGGCTGCAAAGAACCTGGTCTTAGACAAGAGAGCATTTCTTACTCAGAGCCAGGCCCAGCCCTGCCCTGCCCGGGGCCACACGGGAAAGCCCTCTCCTAACACCACAGAGGTTCAGCCTCACACCACCCCCCACAACCACACCCTTCCAACGTGTTGACTGGAGGGCAACATTTTACTACTAAACTTTTTGGAGACCAGGGCTGCCCTGCTGACAGCCTGCTTTCGAAGTGGAATTGACTCGTTTCCTCACTTTAACCCCAAATTGGGGCTTGGACCAAGGGAGGTGAGACCCCTGCCCAGGTCCCCTCCCCTTTCAGAATCCATCTCTAGTTTTGCCCCTTTCTGATGCCCTTGCCCCAGCCTGGGTTTTTGTTCATTTTTTAAAGCAGACAACCCCGGTCCCATCCCTTTCGCTTCTCCTCGTCCCCTATAAATAGACCATGCCACCAATCAGTATTTCTTCCCTCTCCCCTTCCCGTCCCCAGCCCTTTCCCTACCCCCTGGAAGAGCTGGCTGTCTCGGTGCCCCGCCCGTGCACTTCTACGCCCAGGCAGATGGAAGGGGCGGGGCCGCGGGCGCTTCCGGTTTCCCGGGCTGGTGGCTATCCCTGTCCCGCCCTCCGCAGGACTGCGTCTCTGTATATAATATATATATGTATGTATTGTTCCCGGTTTTGTACGGACCATGCCCTCTGTCAGGTCGCCCCATAAAAGCAGCCCCCAGAGCCTCGCTGCCTGGTTTTTTTTATTCCCGGGAGGTGGGTGGAGGGAGGGGCAGATGCCCGTCTGTGGCCAGTGGTCCCCTTCCACCTCCAGCGATTCTCAGATCTTGGTTCCCGCACACACCCTATAGCATTGTCTCCATCAGCACCCATGCTTTATCCATTCCAACTGGGCAATGCTGGGGTTTCTAGTGAGTTCCTTAGGTGCACTGCCTTCCTCTTTTTACAAGGCCTCTGATGGGATTCCAGGATGGGCTGGATGTGGTAAGATGAACCCCAAGTCCCCCCATGGAGAAATCTAACCTAATGGGGAAGCCCAGCCCCCACTCATAAGACACCCTGAAGAACCTAAGGAGGTTCTTCTAGGAGGTGGCAGCTGCGGGACAAGCCTTGGTGAAGCCCCAAAGAGGTGGGAGTGAGGGCAAGCATAGCCATTCCCAGCGCGAGCCTCTCCTTTGCACACTGGTGCGCACACATGTGCAAACTAAAGCCCAATGCACTTGTGACCCCCAAGGAAATGCTCATGTTCCCCTTTGCCCTGATGGAAGTCCCAACATTGGGACCCTTCAGGGCCACCTTGGTGGGTCCCTAATAATACCCGAGATGAGTGGCCTCCACCATAACTCCCAGTGACAGCTCCTGAAGCATCATTGTGCATAGCTCTGTCACACAAGTCTCCCTCATGTCACCAAATTCTGGTTTCCCATAGCTTCCTCTCAAACATCCCAGTTCTGCACCTCAGGGCCATATAGGACCCACCCAGTCCTATATGGGCATCCCCCAGAGGGCACCTGGAAACCTGAGGTGGATGACCATGCCTCTCAAGGTATCTTCTCCAAGTGGATCATCCTTGGAACACTTCTGGGAAGACAGATCCAGGTGACTGAGTCCCAGCATCAGAGGCCACCAAACCACAAGGTTGCAGGTGTTGGCTCCAGAATTAGAGGGCACTGGGACCCTGCTCAGGAAACCAAGAAGTCCCCATATGTGAAGTGGCTGGACCTCCCTGGGTGGGGAGGCAGATCTGGGGGTACTGGTGAGGCCTTCTGCTGGTCTAACTGGGGCTGAGCATCCTGCTGCTGGAATCCCACTGCCCTCACCTGTCCTGTATATTAGGAGAGGGCCTGCACGTTACGTGTTCCAAAAGGTGGGCCAAGGAGCCCCCCAACCAATGTCTGAGCCCACGTGTGGTGTGTGGCTAAGGGTGCTGTGTGTGACTTTGCTGAGTTTCTCAGGCTTGAGATGTGACTTGCCCATGAGATATGTCCATGTTTGGGGCTGTGTGTCAAGCGGCTATGGACACTGTCACCTGCCCACCCTGTCACTTTCCTAGTTCTTAGGAGGTGGGGCAGGTTTTCCACAATCCAACACTTGCCATAGGGGAGGGAAATCAGATAAGGATTTTCTTTACTCCCAGAGCTCAGGCGTTACTAGGAATAGGGGGTCCTCCCAGGTCCTGCGGCCTGGCAGACCCCTTCCCACAGAACCTGCCCCACCCCAGTACTGACATTACATACTCATCATCTCCCCGCTCCCCACAGGGGCAGTATACTCAATCTCCCCACTCCAGCCTACCACCCAGATCTCACCAGATCCCCACAAGCCATGCCCTCTGTAAGAGCCCAGGCATAGCTCTGATAGGCTGTCACCAGAGTCACCCCCCCATCTCCACAATCTAACCAGCACCCCATGGCTGCCAGCAGATTCTGAAGACACCCAGAGACTTCCCCCACCCCCACACAAGCTCCCACAGATCTCCTTAGATATCTTCAGTCCCTAAAGTTATTAATTCTGTCCTTATAGTTCCAAGACCACCCTGGTTCAGCGTGCCATCTCTCACAGCCCCTCAGAGACCCAGGACCGCAGAGACACTGGCTGCTGGGGACTCTTCCTATGGGCCACACCCTCCTCCTGAGCTGCGGGCCCCAGTCCAGCCTCACCACTACTAAGTCTCTGTTTCCCCTTTCCACACGGGGGTGATAGGAACACCTGTCTCATTTTTAATCCGAAGAAAGTGCTGGCAAGCACCCCCCAAGCCATCACAGTAGGGTAGCTAGTTGTTGATTTTACGTGATCTGTCCCAGCTGGCCTGCCTCCACCTCCAGCTCACCAGGTCCAAGTCTGACCTCATCCCTCTCATCCCCTCACCCGTCAGTTCCACTCCAGGGCCAAGCCCTAAGGTCGTCCCAGACCCCTCCTCCTCCTTCAGTGGCCAGCCAGTCCCCTCTTCACTTCTACATCCTGAATGGCACCGTCATCCTCCCTCAACAGCCTCATGAGGGATGGCCCTGCCTTCGGGCTGCCCTCTCCAGTCCCGTCTCCACCGAGGAGCCCAGCGTTCCTGCTAAAACGCAAGTCTGAGCCCCTCCCTCTGTTACTTTTTTCCCTAAGGCTGAGGGTCAAGTGCAAGCCCTCTGTCCACCCCTTCACCCCCCCCTCTGCGGTCTCACTCATCGCCTCTCCCCCTACCCCCACGCCCTACTAGCACTTCCACCCTGCAGGTGTAGCCCCACATTTCCTCCAGGAGTCCTTCCGGAGCACCGCCCCCCTCCCCCGCCCCCTGGTCAGGCCTATCGCCCTCTCTGACCCCACCGCGCCCCATCCCGTGCGCTCTCCCAGCGCTGAGGTTTCCCCGGTGAACTAGGCCTCGTAGCCCCCGCGCTTGAGAGGACCTCCCCACCCGTCTTTCCCCTTGACTACTCCGGGAGCCCCGATGGCCGGGACCCAGTGGGTTCTGTTTCCCGCTGGGGGAACTCCCCTCGGGTCTCAGAGCCAACGACCGCTCGGTGAATGTCTGTTGAGTGGTTGAATCAGGAGCCCTTATGAAGAGCCTGGCAGAAGAGGTGGAAGCCCCGTGGGTTCCAGGGAGGGGCCGCTCCCCCAGCCCCAACTCCCGCGGGCTGAGAAGTAGCAACAACTCGGAATCCCCTCGCCCGGCCGCGACGCGATGCGACGCGGGCCGCTCCCGCCCCTCCGCGAGCTCTGCCTCCGCTCCCTCCCCCCCTCCCTCTCTTTGTCTCCCGGGCTCCCGGCCTCCCTGCCACGCGCCCCGGCATCGCCCCTTCTGGGGGACCCCCGAGGACCCCCGGCGGCGCTACGCGACGCGCAGCGGCCTGCGGGGCGGGGACCTGCGTCCGGCGGGGCCTAGGGGGCGGGGCGGGGAGGTGGCGCGCGCTCTCCCTCCCTCCCTCCCTCCCTCTCCCTCCTCCTTCTCTCTCCCTCTCTCTCACACACACACGCGCGCACACAACACACGCACACAACACTCACGCACACGCACGGAGCATCCTCCCCTCAGGTCTTCTGGTCCAGCCCCACCCGCGCCTCCTGCTTCCTACAAACCTCCATCTCTCCCACACGACACCCCCCTCCCTCCAGCTCCCGGACCCTCCTCGCCAACCCCCACTCCAGTCCCAGGATGGAGCGGATCCAGCCGGCCCGGAGTCCCCCGCGGCCGGGGTGACGGCCCCCGCCCCTCTCCCGCCCGGCCCCCGCCCGGAGCACCATGGGCCGGAGGGTTTCCTTAGGTGCCGGACGCTGAAGATGACTGATGCTGGAGGTGAGGGGCCGGGACCTCAAGGACCCCCAGGTGGACGGGGAAGCGGAGCCGGGCGCTCACTCCGGCTCGCTGTGGGACCCCGAGTCGGGGCGGATGGAGTGTAGCGCCGAGGGCCTTTCTTCCCCCATCCCTTGGGGGCTGCGGGGGGCTAGGGTGCTGGGCTGTCAGGGGAGGGGGCGGAGATAGGATTTGTGTCCCTAATCCTCTCCCTCCCGCCCGCCACCCGGATAAATTAATTTAAAAAACTGGTGTGGGAGGAAGGGGGAGAGGGCTTAACTCTTTCTTCCCCAGCGCGGAGTTGGACTGATGGATTGGAAAGAAACTGGCTGCGAGGCTCTGATGGCGTGGGGGGTGGGGGCCTAGGGGCCCCGAGAGTGCAGTGGGTGCCCTGCCCTCCACCCCCACCCCTGGTTCGGCGGCGCTGGGCAGAGGGGCGAGGTGGGGGCGGGGAAACCGACGCTGGCCGGAAGCCCCGACCCAGCCTGGGCCTATGGGAGAGGGGCTCCGCTTTCCGTAGCTGCACAACCGCCTCCCCCTACCCCGAGCCTCGGCTCCCGGCCATTCTTTCCCAGCGGCACTTCTCTCTTGGTCCCTTTCTGCTCTCTCAGAGCTCCTTCCCTCTAGTCTGCCTCTCTGGGGGCCGCCCCCCTCCAGGCAGCAGTCTCCCTCTCTTCGCGCCCTCCCTCGGGCCCCCCTCAGCGCTGCCGGGGGCCCTCTCCACTCCTGCTTCCCCGGGCCCCACTCCCCGTCTCATCTCTTTCGTGCCCTTTCTTCCTTTTCTCTGCGGCTCTGTGAATTGACACCCGCCCCCCCGCCCCCCACCAACCTGTCTGTCTCTGTTTCTAATACCCGTTCTCTCTCCAGGGCTGTGCCCCTTTCTCTCTCCTTCCCTTGGGTTCCAGGAAGCTTCCAGCCCCCCTGTCTCCCTTTCTCCCAGAGAAGGGTCAAAGGTCACTGGTGGTCCTCCTCTGGGAATTGGGAGGAGTAGCCCAGTAGAATCTGAGTCCAGACTTTGTGCAGAGGGACAGGTTCATTTCCACCCCGTGGCAGTTACCTGGTTGAATGTGCGTGTGTGTATGGGTGTGTGTGCAGGAGTGTGATGGCTCAGTTTGGGAATAAGGGGGTTGGGTGGGAGGGGCCTGGTGATGTCCTGGAAGTTCTGCTTCCCAGAGTAAGAAAGGAGGGTCCCCCACACACCCCTGGGAGGTACTTGTTGAAGGGAGGGAAAGAAAGCAGTTTGTGCTGAATGAGAGTGAACTAGGCTCAGGTGTGAGCTGGAGGCCCCAGCCCACCCCAGAGGGCACCTGAAAGAGGACTCCCCTTTCACAAGAGGGTCTCCACCCTGGACAGGACCTTGAATAAAGGACACGCAGGTTCTCCATGTCGCCTAAGAGAGGAGGTACTGCAGCTGCCCTTGGGGAGCCTCCACCCTTATCTTCAGAGAGTCCCCAGTCTGGTGGGGAACATTGCCCTTCCCCTCCTCAGGAGCTCCCATCCGATGTGGGGGAGACCTGGCCCAGTTAGGGAACTGATAAAGCATGAAAAACCCCTCACTTCCCAGTGGCTGGGGCAGGGTGGGTTTAGAAATTAGGAAGACAAATGACGGGGAGGGCTATCTGGGACAGCTTTCTGGAGGTGGTGGCAGCTGTGTCCTGGTCAGATGAAGCTTTGAGATTGAATGAGGCAATTTGGTTTATTCTTAGGGGCAGGCTCCTCTCCCATCCGGCCCTGCAGGACAGGAAGAGGGGCCCTAAAACTTCTTTGCTACTCACACCCAGAGTTAAAACGTGGCAGCAGGCTTCTTGAAGGGCCTTCCCTTGTCTCTGGGCCCTTCTGACACCTCATTTCCTGCGTTCAGCCCCAAGCATCCATGCAGCCTGCTTCTCCCAGGTCTAGCCATCATGGACTAGCTCCCCGCCCTCTCCCTTTCTCCCCTCGGTGTCCTTTCCTTAAGAGCACCCACCAAAAATGCAGATCATCACCCCGGATAAGGCTGAGGGGCAGGAGACTGGGGTCACCATTGAGGTCTGTCACTTGTCTCCTGCATCTTGGTTTTTTCTATAAAGTGGGGATACTGAGAATCCTTAGAACCAGTGAAATGATGTCCGTGTAATAATAGGGGGGTTGGAAAAGACCCCAGCAGGCACATGGCTTTCCTACACAGCCAGGCAATTGCGTGGTCCAGCCCTGTGCCCTGCCCTTCGCCTGCAGACTTGAGTGGCAGGACTAACTAAAGGTCGTGTCCCAGCAATGCAGTGTGTCCCTGCCCCTGAGCTTCCTCACTCTCTCTTTACCAGGTGTTCCCCTGACCCTCTGACAACCAGAGCTTGGTTTTGGCAGCTACAACCCTATATCTGCTAGGAAGCCTGCCCCCAACTGTTTCAGCTGCACACACCCCGCTTCCCCACCTGCCCTCTTTCTTACTTCCCACCAAAAACACAAAACCAGCCCTCCTACCCACCCACACTTCTTCCGAGAACATCCTTGATGCATCACAAGGATTTGGCTGTCCACTGTTGTGCTGTGAGCACACCGCATACCCTCCGGCATCTGTGAGTGTGAGTGTGTCTAGAACAGTGAGTTTGCCAGGAACAGTGTCTCCGTTGCTGATGGCACCAGCTTCCTGAACAGCTCGGTGCTCAGGAAGGCAAATGGTGAGCACACCAGTGATGGGTGTGGGGGCAAGGGGAACAGCACTGGGTGATGGACCAAGAGATGGGTGGGTGGATGCTATGAACTGATGGATGCAAAGATGGATAGATGGATGAATGCCCAAGTAGATGGATGGATGTAGGAACCCGAGTCCTGGTCCTGATATGGCCATGAACTTGTTATGTGATCCTGAGCCAGTCATTCTCATGTTTCTTTATTTGTAAAACAAGAGAATTGGATTTACTAAACTCCAGGAATTCTCCCACTTTTTCTGTGGGACAATTTACGATGATTAAAAGTTCTTCCGGAACTGAAAGGCCCAGGAGAGTGACGGGGACAGATCAGTGACCTGCGTGGAGGCACACAGCACGTCAGATGGGGCCAGGCTGCAGGACTCAGCCTGGTCTACACCCTGGACCTGCCTCTGCCCTCTGCGTCCCCTCCTGCCATAGCCGCCTGGATCTGGGCACAGTTCAGAGACCGCCTCTCCCAGGGCTGGAGGAGGAGTTCTGAGGGAAGGTGAGGGGCCAGAGGCCAGGACTTGCTCCTGGCCTCCACCCACCTGAACCTCTCACTCGCCCTCTCTTTCTCTCTCTCTCCACCTTATCCTTCCCAGCTCTCTTGAGTCATGGCTTCTTCAAAGCTCCGAGAACCCACCGATGAGGTTTTTGGTAAGTTCTGTTTGGCGCTGCAGGTGGGGGAGGCAGGAGTCCCTTGGGGACTTCAGTGTGTGTGTGTGTGTGTGTTGGGGTCTTACAGCCTGATTCTTTGTCACAACTGTCTGAGTGACAGGATAGTGACAACAGCAGCGATGTTAGGAAGAATCCGCATTTATTAGGCCCTCGTCTTGTGCCAGGTACTAGGCTACACCCCCACTCACAGGCACTGTCCCACCAAGTCCCCACAGCCATGCGAAGAAGCGTGCCCGCTTCACAGGCGAGGAGCCGAGGGCACTGAGTGCTGGCGTGACTTTATTCAAAGTCACACGGCGGGTGAGAGGCAGCGTTGGGCCCCCAGACTGCCCAACTCCCTGCGCTCAGCCTCTGTGCTGTCCACCTGTGTCCCCTGGCACACGCGACAGTTACTTTTCAGTTGCATAAATAAGGACCTCCCTTGGCATGGACGCACATAGAAATCAAATACATAACACGCACTCAGCCCCGGCACACACCTGCCTGCACCATGGATTGGAGAAAAACCACCAGGCCAGGCACAGTTCCCAGCATGCAGTGGGGTAGAGAGACTGTTTCCACCTGGATTGGGTGGAGGAGTCAGTGAGCAAAGCAACATGGAGGAACCTGGAGGGGACAGGAAGAAGCCCCTGAAGCCTGTACCGTGTGTGCGGCTTTCAGAACTCACATTTGTGTGCATGACCTTGAGAGGCTCCTGGCTGTGGAAGCCACAGGGCCTCCCAGCTTCTCCTCCCCTATTCTCCCCCACTTTTCTTCCCCTATCCTCCTCCCCCTCCTCTGCTCACCTCATTCTCCCCTGGCACCACCGCACGCCCTGGCAATGCCAGGAACTGCCGCCTCCCGGCTCCTGGGGACCGCTGCTTTCCACTCGCCCTCCCCGGGGCCTGCGGAGTGCAGGGCTGGCCGGCCTCTGGGACTCCCCCAGTCTTGAACCGCCGCTGGGCCTCTCAGGCTCTGAGCTGCTCTATCTCCATGCAGGCCTGGCCTGACCTCTGGCCTGACAGAGATGAGCTCCCCTTTGTGGGGCTTTTCGGCCTCCATTCCCCCTCCTCCCAACCCAGCCCTTCCTGTTTTCCTTCTCCCTGACCTGCTGAGGTAGCGCCAGCCCTGCCTGCTTCCCGTGAGAGAGGCAATTAAATATTCAAGATTTCCCACTGCCCTGGGACAGAGTAACTCCCGGTGGGAGTGGGAAGGAGGGGTCCCCAGGGAAGGACGGAAGTAGGTGAGGGGGGCCTGGCAGACCAAGGGGCTGGAGAGAGACTGGCCCCACCTTGCTCCCCAGATGCTCCAAGGTAAGATGACCAGGGTCCCGATGTGGCCCAGAGTCAGGAGAACGGGGCCCTTCTCCCTGACCTTCTCCCCATACGTATGCACATGTGTGAGTCTGTGTAACGCAGACACGTGGGAGCGATATTTTATTGTGGGAAGGCAAGAGTAGGGAGACTACCACTGTGCAGCCACCGAGTAATTCAGGGTGGCCGGGCACCAGCTTGGTCCCAGCACCTCCCCCACAGCGGCGAGAGCACTCCTCGGTGACCTGGGTCAAACCCTGCCTCTCCCAGCCTCAGTTTCCCCACCTGTAAAATGAGGATCTGGCACCCCTACCTGGGACTCAGAGGAGGTGGAGAGGGCTTGGTAGTTCCAAGCTGAGCCTCTGCAGCCGGGCTGCCTGCAACCCCAGACCACTCTTCACCAGCCACGTCAGGGCTGCCCGGGGAGGCCCGGGGTCTCCTCCTTACGGGGCTGTGGGCAGGTGTGCGTGAGCTGGCACATGCGAAGCACTTGTGAAGACTGGTGCCCGGCAGTGAGAGCTGAGGAAGTGATAGCTGTTATTCTGTCGTCAGCCCTCATCCTCCCTCCTCGCTGCTTCCAGGCAGTGCCTGGAGATTCCGTGTCAGGGGACAGAAGGCTCCCCTCCCAGGCTCGGCCCCAGGGCCTGGAAACAGCGGAAGGGAAGCAGCGGAAGGGTGGCTGAGCGGCTAGAGCAGCGGTGTCAAACCGGGAGTCCGAGATGGCAGGCCTCTGACAGGACCGCTCCCCTCTCCACGCCACTGCCAGCTGCGCCTGGACAACAAGCCTGTCTGGCCACCCTCCCCTTCAGCCAGGCCGGTCCCCCCTCCTTGCTGGCTGCACTGGCCCCTGCTGACCCACACTCCCAGCCCATGACCACACGGTCCCCTCTTGTTCTGTCTACAACCTTGGCTCCTTCTTGTCACCCAGACCTCACTCAGCCCAGCTACCTCATCTGAAACAGTAGCTCCCCCAGTCACTCCCTGTCTTCATCCGTTCGACAAACATCAGAGCTTCTGATGTGCGCCTCTCTGTTCTAGGCCCTGGGAAGACGGCTCAAAACGAGCCAGGCAAAGTCACTGCCCTCATGGAGCTTGAATTCTAGCCCAGGGGCCAGCAGGGGGCAGTGCCACAGCAGTCGTGACTAAGCAAGCAAAATGTCAGATGGGAGGAGGGCTGCGCCGAGGACAAGAAAGTGGCATGGGACGGGGCACGGGCAGGCGCCCATTGTGACCCTCGCCAGGCACCCGCGTGTGTCTGGAGTCCACAAAAGTGCGGCTCTGCTTCAACTGGCCAAGCACCTACTGAGCCCCTACCCTCTGCCAGGCCCCACATCCGGGTACACAGTGGACAGTCGAGGGTGTCACCCTCTGCTGTGCAGACTGGCATGGGACACTCATTCCCCAGATCAGAGGGACAAGCCTGAAGAGCTGTGGCGGTCCAGAGTCTGGCAGTCCACAGTGGGGGCAGGTGACAAGGTGACGTGTAGGAGTTGAGGGTCCAGACGGGCTGGAGAGTGATGGAGCAGAGGGAGCAGCGGGACACAGGGAAGGAGGCAGGAAACGAAGGTAGAGGCAGGTGTCTGGGCATCAGTACAAGTGGTTTCCTACTATGCCCACCGACGCCACCAGCAGCCAGTGCCCGGGCACACTTACCAAGTCACAGGCATTACTGCAAAGCACTTTTTGTGGATTATCTTTTTTAGTGCTCGCAACAACCCCATAAGGACGATACTGCTATTATGACTCCACTTTACAGATAAGAAGCTGTTAGCTAAATGCAAGTCACTTGCTCAGGGCCGCCCAGCCAGCAAGTGGCAGCACCGGGTTCCGCCCAGGCCGTCTGGCTCCAGGGCTTCTGCTCTTCACAGAGGCACACATGTAAGAGCGTGCTGTGCAGAGGAGGGGATCCGGGGGACACGTGAGGGTGTGGGCCCCTCAGGGCTTGAATGGAGGGCTGAGGGCTCAAACTTGATATTAGGATGGACTGCTTCCCACCCCTGACCCCTGACCCTCTGCTGGGGGGTGGTTTAAAAGCTGGAGAGTATGAGCCAGCCAGAAATATGCTTTAGGAAGTTTCTTCTCGCTTGCAGAAAGTGGGTAGGGAGGCAGAACAGAGCCTGGCACACGCTGGGAGCAGGGAACTAAGAATGGACTGGTGCTGAGGCCATGCTCTGCAGCGGGTGGGGGAGGGCGAGGTGGGAGTGGGCGGCTGGTGAAGACGTGAGCAGAGGCGTCCTATTGGAGAGAAGGGGCCAGGTTCCAGGGATGTGAGGAGGCAAATCTGTTCTTTCATTAAAATAACGTTTACTAACCACTGTGTACCGGGCACTACTCTATGCCTGTGTTAGAGCAGCAAACAAACTGGAACCGTCTGTCCTAGCCGGAGCTGACATTCAAAGGGGTAGAAGAGAGACAATAAATTGAGTAAGTAGAATAGCTAATGAGCTAAGGAATGATAAGTGACAGAGGAAAAAGTAGGTGTGGAGGTTCTGGGGGTATTATAAGTTGGTTGGTCAGGGGAGTCATCAGTGAAAGTATTTCAGCCAAGACCTGAAGGAGGTGGGGGGAGAACTATGCAGAAATCTGTGGCTTGAGACTTGCTGGACAGGGGGAGGAAGTGCAAAGGCCCCGAGGTGCAGGTCAGGCTTGCAGGAGGAAGAGCCAGGAGGCCGGGATGGCTGGAGTGGAGGGGGGCAGCAGAAGAGCAGCCGGCGCTCAGAAGGTGGCCTGGACTCAATCTGAAGGCCACTGGGAGACTGGGGTTCTCACTCTGAGTGAGACAGAAGTCACTGGAGGTTCTGCACTGCAGAGTGACCCCAGTTGATAGGTTTTATCAGGATCACTCTGGCCGTGGTGTTGAAAATAGACTGTAAATGGGAGGAGGAGGAGGGACTACCATCTGCGAGGCAAGAGGCAACGGTGACCTGCACAGGCTGCGAGTTTTTTCTCATGTCCCCTCCCCTCTTCTCCCCACCTTGCTTCTCTCCTCTTCTCCCCTACTCTCCTGGGCACTCTCTCTCCTCTTCCTCCCCATACATATTCATGTGTGAGTGTAACACAGATATACAAATAGTATTTTCTTGTGGGGAATCAAAAGTGGGGAGAGTAGTACTTGCCCTCCATCGCACACAGGCCCTCATCACTCAGCCTCAACCGCCGTCTGCTCACGGATAGTCTCGTTCCATCTCCATTCCCTTGTACGGCTCACCTCCCTTCCCCTGGATTATTTTGAATCTAGTCCAAAACATCTTGTCATTTCACCATAAATATTTCAGTACATCTAGATATATTTCAGAGGTAGCGCTAACAGGAACTGTGGATGGATTGGTCTGTCGGGTGGGAGGGAAGAAGAGGAGCCAGCAATGACTCCAGGGGTTTGGTCCGGGCAGCTGCAAGGATGAAGCTGCCATTTGCTGAGCTGGGCAGACTGGGAGAGCAGCTGGGGGCGGGGAGCCCAGCCTTGGCATGCACGTTGAAGACGCCCGTTGGACATCTAAGTGGTGATGTCAAGTAGGCAGCTGGACACATGAATGACCAGAGGGGTCTGGGGCTACAGGGGCAGGGCAGCTTAGAGCTGGCTGAATGGGGTGACTGGGTGGGGTGGCTGGGTGGAGGATGGGGCCTTTCACTGAAGCAGGGAACACAGGAGAAGCCAGTTTGAGGCAAGGCGGTGGGTTCATTTTGATGGGTTGAGTTTTAGGTTCTGGGTGCCTTGATATGACAAGTTCCCTGGCAGGGTTCGAGGTGCCAGGTTTGGAATCCAGGGGAGGGAGGGGTCAGGGCTGGAAATAGACATGGACAGTAGTTAAACCAGGAGAGACACTGGGGTGGCTTAGGGGGTATCTGCGGACCAGAGGAGGAGCAGGCAACACAGAACGGGCATGGGTGATGGGGTGGGGGTCCCCTAGATCGCTGGATGGGTGGGGAAGGAAGGTCAACCCAAGCTGAAGTCTGGGAAGAACCTTTTCTGCCTGGAGACCCCCGTGCACAGTGAGGGCTTAGGAAACTAGGAGCAGAGGGGTTTGTGCACGACCCGTTGGGTTTGCCCACCCTTTCTCCATGTCCTTACCCAGGATCTAGCCCTCTAGGTCCTGTCCCCCTCTGGGCTTGTCTCCCTCTGGGTCTGTGAGAGGCCCCATCACACTGCTGTATCTGTGTGTTGACAGGCCTGGCTCCTGGGAGACCAAGAGACCCTGCTTCCCATTTCAGCTGCACTCCCAGTGCCCAGCACCCGGAAACATTCGGGCACTGTCTGGGGTGTAGTGCAGGTGGCCGCTGGGCCTCTGGGCTTGCTCACCTCATGTGTCTGTTCTCTGCCCCCTTCACCCGGTTTGTAGACCTGGACTTGGCTGTGCCAGAGACCGTCAGACTGGACAGCAGTTTACACAAAGCCCGGGCCCAACTGCTGGCCAAGGGCCGTAGACATCGGCCTTCCCGCTCCAGGCTCCGGGACAGTGCCAGCTCTGCGGAGGATGGCGAAGGCTCCGATGGGCCTGGAGGCAAGGTTGGGGCAACCCACGCAATCACACGCATCCCACGCACTCTTCTTGCCCCTGGATAGTCCCTCCAAACCGCTCTTCCAGGGAGACCACTCGGCCCCCCAGCCTCGGACATGATAATGCTCACAAACTTGAGCTGCCTTCACTTCCGGCTCATTTCATCCTCTCGTGGAAGGGATTATCATCCCCATTTTACAGATGAGAAAACTGAGGCTTAGGGGTTCTGTAAACAAAGCCACGCAGTAAAAGAGGTGGGATTCAATCCCATCCTCTGTGGCTGAAAGCCTTCCGTTTTTTCACCTTTCACTGCCCAGCCACCACTCTATCCCACATGGGGAAACCCTCCCTCCAGTTCCCAGAAAGACCCAGGAGTCTGGGCTCCATGCCTCCGGAGGCTCCCTTGCAGTTTACTGGGTGAACCAGGCTCCCAGCCCCTCCGGGAAGCGGGGAGGAGGAATGGCAGTAAGCGGCTGCCCGCCCCCGCAGGTGACCGACGGCTGCGGGAGCCCCCTGCACCGGCTGCGCTCGCCTTTGCACTCGAGTCCGGGGTCTCCGGCTGTGGGTTCATTCTGCCTGGAGCCTCCGGGGCTACGGCGCAGCCTGGACGAAGACGAACCACCACCCTCGCCACTCACCCGCTACCGGCCCCTGCACAACGCCGCTTCGCACGAGGGCCTGGCCGCCGCCTCCAGCTCACCGCCACGCTCCGCGCCCTCCTCCGATAGCTCGCCCAGCTTTGTGCGGCGCCACCTGCGCGCAGAGCCGCACAGCGAAGGTGAGCGCGGCCCGCCCGGTGCCCCCTGCTGGTGCGCGCGGGTACTGCAGCGGCACCGAAGCGCAGGGCGGGACCAAGTGGAACGTGGTGGCTTGCGGGGGAGTTAACACCGCGCTTCATTCATTCATCTACTGAGCGCCTACGATGTGCCAGGCACTGCTGCGCACTCGACACATAAGCGAGCAAACAGATGCAGTTCTCATTCTCGGGGGGCTTGTAGTTCCCGGGAGAAACAATAAAGTAATTCCTTATAGTGGCCGACGGGGGCTGGGGAAGGAAGCAATCAGATCATCCCTTAAACGTAGAGTTACAAGCTGTAATAAGTGCTATGTGAGAAAAGAGCACAGTGGTGTGGGAGAGCGCATATAAGGGTGAAAAGACCTAGTTGAGAGCATCCTGGAAGGCTTCTCCGAGGAAGTGACATGTGACAAAAGATTTGAAGGCTGGTTAGAAGCTGGCCAAGATAAAATTAACACTCAATAGCAGTGGTCCCTACTTTTTCAGAGCGGTTTATAGTTTGTTTACGGCTTTCCTCAACATCCCATTAGGTGCCATGAAAGAGGCAGGTGTCATTATCCCCGTATTGGAGATGAAGGAAGCTCAGAGAGTTTAAGTGACTTGTCCTAGGTCACACAGCTGGTGAAGGGCACTAGAGCCAGGCTGCATGACTCTAAGTGAGGAGAATTTCTCCCACCCCACACCGGCAACTGAACTAGGCTATTTCACAGGCTATTTCCTTCCCTCTTCCCCAAAAGATGACAGCCGAGATGCCAGCCCACCCGAGCCTGCCAGCCCCACCATTGGCCTGGATAAGAAGACTCGCCGAAAGTTCCTGGACCTGGGGTGAGTGTGGGAGAGGCCAGAACCAAAGCCTTGGAGCTGTGGGGGGAGGGGTACAGGGTAGTACTGTGGGCAGCACTGCCCCACTACCCCCTCCCCTCCCCACAGGGTCACCTTACGCCGAGCATCCACTAGCAAGAGCCGGAAGGAGAAGGGCAGCAACCGCCTGTCCATGGGCAGCAGGTAAGAGGCTCACACGGCGAGCGCCTCATCCCCTCTGCTTCCGCCTCTGAGTCCCCGCAAGCCTGGCCCTCTCCTCCGTGCCCGCACCCATGCAGGGCGTGCTCTCCACAGGGAGTCGGTGGAGGGGTCCAGCAGGTCCGGGGGCTCCGCGTTCCTGCCCTTTTCCTGGTTCACGGACAGCGGCAAGGGCTCGGCCTCCTCTGGCAGCACCACCCCCCCTGCCTGCTCGCCTAAACACGAGAGCTTCAGCCCCAAGAAGTCAGCTTCTCAGGTAAGTCTGTGGTCTTCTTGCCCCCACAGTGGCCCTTAGGCTCAGGTGACATGAGGGCTGGCACCCAGGCATTCCGACAGTCTGTCCCCTGAGCCATGCAGTAATTCATTCATTGGTCCATCTCTGAGTTTGTGCATTCACTTGTTCACACGTCCATATTCTGAGTAGCTAATTTGTTGATTCATTCGTGGCTCCGTCCACTGAACACGTGTCACTGGACACTGCGATTCCCCTAGCGTTCACCCAGCCCGAGGTCTCCTGCATTCCTGTGAGCTTTTCTGCCCGGCTCAGTTCTAGCTCCACGTCTGAGTTCTAGCTCCTGTCCGAGGAGAAGGGACTTGCACCCACACACGCATGGACCCCCAGCCCTGTATTGGGCCTTTGGTTCTGTTTCCCATGTGCAGCTGGGGCAGAGGAGATCAGGATGCTAGGAATTCAGGACAGAAGGGGTCCCTTCTCACCCGAGACTGCCTTCTTTCTTTCTTCCCTTGTGCAGGGCCCTGGGGTACCAGAGGGAATGGACACAGCCCAGGCTCTCAGAGAAGCTCCCAGTCTAGTGAGGGCAGGGATCTCCGATCGGGCACTCACAGCCAGGGCACCAGAGGCCGCAGTGGGGAAGCGTAGGGCAGACTCATCTGACGCAGCCTGGGGGAAGCCTGGCTGACTCCCTGTAGAAACTGATGCCTTCATTCCTGCTAATGGTTGTGCCTGGCTCAGTTCTAGCCCCTCGTCCTCCCAGATCCTGACGGAGTCACCCTGTCATATGTGCCCGCCCAGCTCCTGGCTCATGCACAGGGTGCACTGAACAATTCCTGGTGCCTAATCTAGGACCTCATCTCCGTCCAGATAGGGGTGGGTGGATTGGGGGTCCCCCCCTTGGGCTGGGGGCAAGCTTTCTCCTCAGCGGCACACACTCCCTCCTGTCTAGGAATCCACCCTGAGTGATGACTCCACACCCCCCAGCAGCAGCCCCAAGATCCCGAGCGGTCCCCGGCAGGAGGCCAAGTGCTCCTACCCCTATCACACGCTGTCCCAGTCTTCGGATGAGGTGAGCGAGCTCTGGCCTCTGGCTCTGCCTAGTGTGCAGGCCACGGGCTGCATCCTCCTCCTCACCCTCCTCGGTTTCCTCCCCAGTTCCTGGATGAGCCCCTCCCCACTATCCACCACTGGACCAGCCAGCAGGTGGGCCAGTGGCTGCACAGCCTCAACCTGGAGCAATACGCCGCCGAGTTTGCCGCACGGCAGGTGGATGGGCCCCAGCTGCTGCAGCTGGATGGAAGCAAACTGAAGGTGGGTCAGAGTAAGAAAGCCCCAGCCTGGCCGGGGCCTGGGGCAGCCTTCAAGGATTAGGATCCCCTCAGCCTGACCTTGTCACTCCTCTGAACCCACTGCCCCTAACCTCTGACCTGTGGGCAAGGTCCTTGGCCTAATCTGTCCTCTGGCATGGGTCCTCAGTCTGACTTAAAACTCAAGCCCAAGTCTTCAGTTTGACCTTCAAGCTCCAGACCTTGACCCCTAGGACTTGGTATCATCTGACTCTTGACTCTGATGTGTCCTCTCGTCATGAGAGGTGTCCCGGGAAGCAGGCCTCCTCCTGATCACCTTGTCTGAGTCTTAGTCTTGGAGGTGGGTGGCAGTGGGGAGAGGTCAGGGGGGGCTTCTGGCCTCCGTGCTACAAGGTTTCTGGTCGGTTTCTGCCTTCTCCTGGTTGCTTGGGGAAGGAATAGAGAGGAGAGTCCCCCCAAGAAGTCTCCGGTGTGGGGAGGGGCCTCACCAACTGACCAGCCATGTGACTTTGGGCAAGTTGCTCCCCATCCCTGGGCATCGGGGGTTGGCTGGGTATGCCCAAACTGAAGTGAGTACAGGAACGGGAGCCAAGGATTATGGGAAGTGGGAGGTGGTCAGCAGTGGTGGCAAAGGGCCTGGTACTCTCCACTCATCTCCCTCAATGCCTCCCATTCAAATTCTTGCTGAGGGTTCTGATCCACTGGCAGGTCTGGGAGGAGAGGGCAGATAGAGCTCCAGAGAGGGTACAGCTGGGGCACAAAGGACCCGGGTGCTTCTGGGGTGCTTCCCCTCACCCTCGGTTTCCTCCCTTAGAGCCTGGGGCTCAGCAGCTCGCACGACCGGGCACTGGTGAAGCGGAAGGTGAAGGAACTGGCAGCAGCTGCTGAGAAGGAGCGCAAGGCCCAGGAGAAGGCTGCACGGCAGCGAGAGAAGCTCCGGCGCAGGGAGCAGGAGGCCAAGAAGAGCTAGAGGAGAGTGAGGCGGGCACAGCACCCAGGCAGGGGCAGCTTCCGGCTCAGCAGGCACAGGCCTCCCCAGGGAAGCAGGGCCTGGGCGCCCAGCGTGGGCTGGCCTGGCCCCACGCTCTCAGGGGTACTTGCCCTCTCTCACCTTGTCACTCTGGACCAAGATCCCCCAGAAAGGGAGACCCCAGGGAGAGGGCCCAGTAATAAATCAATTTCGAGGACTCAATCAGCACAGAGTTCCTGGGGGAAGTAGCAGATTATGGGAAGAGGGCAGAGAGGCTAGGGCTGAAGCCAGTCTGGGAGCCCAGACGCACCTGGGTTGATCTGACACTCTGTCCTGGGGTCACCGTGGTGTGGGGGCGGGCAGTGAGCTGGGATGCCTGCCTGCCTGCCTGCCAGAGGCCAGGGACCCAGGGCTCAGAGAGGTGGCTGAGCATCTCAGCAGGAGTGGGCGGATGGAGTTGTTTCTCTCCAGCTCTCTAAGGTGGCTGTGTGTGGGGAGAGCTCTGCTCTGTTCCCAGGGAGGCTGGTGGGCACGGCAGCAAGCTGCACTCAGAGTAGACACCCGGACTGCCTCCTCAACAGGAGAGCAGAGGAAGCAGCATGGTCATCCCACTTGGCCTTTGTAGGACTTCAGGAGAAGGGAGAGTGAAACCCTCCTCCTCTTCCCCTCCCCTATCCTGTGGTCCCGACGGTGAGACGACACCCCCAAGGGTCTGCTCTTCCTGGGGCCCCGTCAGGCCGTCAGGCCTGCGCCTTGGCCCACTAAGGCGGGCCCATTTCTCCTCCCGCTGCCCTCAGAAGGTACCTGAGCCCTCCCTGGGAACAGAACTTAGGAGCTGGTAGAGATGAAGGGACCCCCTTCCAATGCACCAATGCACCAATGCCTATGTGGGACTGCACTGAGGAATCCTCACTGGAGTCAGGCAGAGGCAAACCCAGGAAGGGTTCGCCAGCCCTCCCCCACCTGCCCTTCTCCCAGCGGGGTCTCAGTGAGCTTCAGAACTGGAAGTTGCAAGCTCTGACTACAAGGAGGGGTAGGGCCAGCCCCCACCTCTGTGGGCATGGAGTGTATCCCAGCAGCCCGCGGGTGGCATCTGTCCTTGTGGGGAGGGCCAATCAGGTATGGTGTTGGCCGGCAGCTAGCTTCTGGAGCGCTGGCCAGAGTTACCAATGGGGCCTCTGATTAGAAGCCCCCTCCATCTCCTCCCATCAGCCCAGAGCAGCAGACAGGACCCAGTGCATGCTGACTCCCCTCGTTCCTGCCCAGGGCCTGTGGTTTGAGGGCCACCTGTCCCTGAGACCCAGCCCTTTCTTCTTCTTTGCCTTCTGGGCTGGGAGAGGAGCTTTTGAGGGGAACTGAGATAGAGGGAAACTGAGATATGGGGCCACCGGCGTGACCCAGGCCTGGTGGAGGGGCTGGAGGGAAGGTTGGAGGGCACCCAGGTCCTTGCAACTACTAGGAGCCCACGGGTGCCCGCGTGCATGTGAAGGGGGGAGGCAGTACTGAGTTTATTTCAATAAACACTTATGACGTGCCAGTGATCTGTCTGTCTGTCCTAGGCAGGGGCTGGCCTGGGTCGGGACTACGCTGTGCCCCGAGTGTGGCGGGGTGACTGTGCTGTCGGGTGTCCTGAGTGGGCGGCTGTGCTGATGCTGCACTTGTGGTGCTCCGAGTCGGGCCCCGAGCTGCTCTGGGCGTCCTGAGCGCTCACAGGTTACATGCTGGTCACAGGGACCGCAGTCCGCTTACATTGGTCTTTTGTTGTGGGTTCCCCCGCCCCAGGAAGGCAGCCAGGCCAAATGCTCATTGGCTCTCCTCTTTACTGTGGATGTCACTGTCACCATCACAGCCACTGGGAGGGGCACACAACTTCAACCCCCCCTGTGCTAAGGGGAAGGATGGGGGCACTCAGGGCTATAAAACTAGCTATGTACACGGAGCATTCTAGGGAGAGGGCCCTCCCACCCCATGCACGCATGTGTCCGGGCACGGTGGGAGTTGGGGTCTGGCGCTCAGGTGGACGGTGGGGATGTGAGGTGGGCAGGTGGGTGTGTGCACGTTAGGACGTTTGCAGAAGGGCTTGGGGGGCTGCGGAAACACTGCTGGGGCCCCCAGCAGGGCTGCAAGCAGCCCGGCTGGGTGCACGCCTCCCGGTCCTCCCAGGTTCCGTCACGTTAAGGGTGAGGTCCTGATAAGAACTCCCTCCCTCCTAATCTTGACCTGAAGCTCAGAGTGGAGAAAGAGGCTGGCGCACCAGGCCCCTGCCCAGGGTCCAAGGGTGCAGTGCCTACCCCACCGGCGGAGCGCCTCCCTAACTAACACTGACACAGGACCGGGGCTGGGCTGCCTGGGCGCACTAAGGGAGTAAGGCAAGTAGGGGCATCTGTTCGAAAGGCCAGGCTGTGGAGGGCAGTGAGGGGGACCCAGGACCCCTGGCAGAAGAGTGGCAGCGCTGGTCTCAGAGAGGAGGACTGCCATGGAAACGTATCTCTGGGACACCCCAACAGGGTAGAGACACCTCCCAGTCCTCAGGGACTGCTCACAGAGATTGGACACTGGGGAGACCACCTAAGGATCTCCACAGAGACACAGATTGGCACTTAGGGGCCACCACGGACTGGCCACTGCAGTGATTTCCAGTCCGGGGAGTGTCCCCAACCTGGGGTGGGGTGGGGAGGGTAACCATGGTGGCCTGTCCCGGAGACGGCAAACAGTCCATCCTCGCAGCTGCCGAAGAGCAGAGTGACTTCTAACTGACACGGTAGGTGGACGTGTTCTTGGGCTCCGTGCTGGGCACACACCAGTCGCCCGCCTCCTGGATGGTCTGGTAGTGGCGCCAGGCTGACTTGTTGTAGACGGGCAGGCGCTCCACTGAGTCCGTGGACAGAGCCTGGGGAGTGGCAGGCTCAGCCTCTCCCACGGCCCTGTGCTGCCCGCCCCTCAGCACGTCGCCCTGGCCCCTGGATGGGCCGCGGCAGCCCGACGAAGTGCGAGACCCGGGCTGGGACTACCAACCCTGGCCCAGGAAGGCCCTCGAAAGGGTCTGTCCCTCTGAGTCTTGCTCCCGCCCACTCAAGGCAGCTGCTCACTTAAAGGGTCAAGGAAGGAGAGCGAGGAGGCTGGGCGGTGTGTTCCTGAAGGTCACCAACCCTGGGCCTCCATCTCCTCCTGAGCAGAGTGACGAATTCTCTATGGTTCCCCTTCCTTCTGGGTTCCCAGAACAGGGGTCTGAGTCATAGACCATGAACTCCGACATTGCCTGCCAACCAGGGAGCGCCTGTGGCGCTCTGCACCCCAAGGTGGTTGGGGACTGCAGCTCTGCTCTGAGTCTCAGTCTGGAATTGGGAAAGGGTCGCAGGGATGGAGAAGAAATCTGCCAGCAGGCTGACCCTGCCTGACCTGTCAGCAAACCCCGTGGGCCGCAGGCAAGGCCCCTCACCTTGAGATAGATGACGGCGTCCGTCCCAAAGCCCTCCATGGAGAAGAGCTGCAGGTCCCCCTGGAAGTACTTGGCATAGAGGCGGGAAATGGGGAGCCCGTAGCCGAAGCCAGCCTGCAGGGGGCAGGAAGGGGGTGTGATGAGGAGGCTGGCGCTGCAGTGATGGAGTGTGTGGGGGGGGGGGGGGTGCCCAGAACTGGGTGGGGCAGGGGAGAGGACACAAGAAGGGAAGGCTCTGAGGCAAGACGGAGCCGTGGGATGAAGGAGGTCAGTGTGGGGGAGGGGGCAAGCTGAGAGGCACAGTGAGGGTGGGGGGACATTAGCAGGGCAGGGAGAGGGCATCTGGGCAGGTCACGGGCTCCTCTGAGTCTCGATCTCCCAGACCCAGCTCTACTCCTCGGTGAACGGACAGGGAGATGTTAATGAACAACGATCAGTGACTTTGTGGGGAGGGAGGGGAAGAGTAAGGAAAGGTCAGAGACAGACCCCCGCAGACACGTGGGGCAGGGAGGTCCAGCCCGGGAGAGGTGACTGATGCCACACAGACACATGAGAATGGAGAGACCGCAGGAGATAGGAAGCAAGAGATAGGGAAGAGTGACAATTGAAAAGAAGAAATGAAGAGACAGGCGGGCACCCCGCAGGAGGCAGGAAGGGAGTGGGAAGGGAGCCACCTCACCAGCGGGGTCCCCCCAGTGCCAGGCTGGGGGGTGGGTGCTGTGGAGTACATGTAGCTGAAGAGTTGTTCAATCTTCCTCAAGGGGACACCCCCGCCGCGGTCACTCATCTGGGGGCGATGGACACATCAGGGGCTCTCCAGACCTGCATTCCACACAGCTCCACCCCTCAACCCCTTGACCTTTTCCCTGGTTCCCTAACCCTCAGGGTCCTCCCAAGTCCATCTCCTGGCAGGAAGGAAGGCCACCTCCCACCCCGCCACTGCTCTCTGGCCTCCGAAGTCAAGGGCCACATACTTTGATGGACAGATCCTCCTCGCCCAAGGCCACCATGACCTTGACAGGTGGGAGAACGAGGCTGGACTCATGGCTTTCCACAGTCGCTCGCATGGCATTCTGGGGAGGGAAGGAGTAAGAGAGGAGTGAGGGAAGCCCAGCCCCGACTGACTGCCCCGACCCCACCCTGCCCCCTCCACGAAGCACCGTCCCCCGGCCTCCTCACCTTGAAGAGTTCGAAAAGCATGTGGTAGAGGTGGGATGGGACGTAAACCATGTGAATTGGCTGTTTGGAGTCGGATGCTGCCAGGAGTCAAGACCAATGATCAGGAAATTGTCAAGAGGCCAAGAGGCCACCGGTCAGCATTCACTCACTCAGCATCTGGCGCCCAGCACTCAGCCACCATCTATTAGCTACCCATCTGCTCATCCATCCATCCAGCATTCACTCGGCCACTTATGCACTCACTCAGGGTCCATCAACCTTCTATCCATTATACGATGTCCATCCGTGCGTCCATCCATCCACCCATCATGTCCATTCAACATCCATTACCTCCTCTGTCTACCTATCCAGTGTCCATTCAACCATCCAATGGTCCTTCGGACTGAGCATCCGTTCAGACATCTACTCTTACCATCTGTCCATTCATTCAGAGTTGTACCCATGCTTCCATTCATCCACTGTTTATCTATCCATCTATTCACCATTTATACACATTCCAAAAGAGCCTGTCTACACTCTGTCCAGCCCACTAGCATTCAGCGGGACACTAGAATCCCCTGGAGAACTTCTGTGCCTTGGTGGGGCAGAGAGCAGGGGTACTGCACAGGGGATTCTGACCCCTGGCTCCTGCTCCCCAGGACTCGCTCTAGCCTGGAGTTCCTTCGTGTTAGGGACTGTTCCTTCCCAGTGTCTGGCACAGGGCTTTGTAGGCACCAGGAGCTCAATAACTAAGCCATGGATCAGTGAGTGAAGGAGTCTCGAGCCCTGTGCTGGGCAGTGGGGACACAAAGAGAAACAAAATTCAGCCCTGCCCTCTCAGAAATTCAAGTCTAGAAAGTGGCCTGTCTCTGCCCTTCAGTCTTGGTCCCTTGCTCCCTTCAAACAGTGCAACACAGAGGTGCACCTGGGACAGGAGGGCACCCACCTGTCTGTGTCAGACACACGCACACACACAGAGCCTTGCTCACCACTCACCACTGATCTCCTGGATCTCCAGGTCAGGTGAGGCCATGTAATACTTGTCACACAGGAGCTTGGCCATGTCGTAGGCATCTAAGAGGAGAGAGGGGACACTCAGGGAGTGGGGTGGCCCGCCCAGTATGCAGTCCTCTCGG